TGTCCTCTATAGGAACTGTGCTTCAAGGGGTAGGATAATTTAGAATTTAGGGCATTGTAAACACTCTATTACTTCTCTGCTTCCAAGTTTTCCTTTGAAAATAAAACCCACCTCCCTGGTCCTAGTAGCATGAGCCATGACCCTTTTGCACGATACTTTGCAGACATTTATTAAATTCCATCTCAGTTTAAACCATTATCTAAGAAATATATGTACTTTTAAAAACTTAATTGATAGCTCCAAACCTTATAAACTAATTTAATTATGCTACCACCAAATAGATACTTTACAAATGCAGAGCATTAAAAGTTTTTATGATGGGTGCACCAAAGTCTCAGCAGTCACCATGAAAAGAACTTATTCATGTGAACAAATACCACATGTTTTCCAAAAACCTACTGAAATAAATAGTATAATAAGGAAGGAATGTCTTATTGAAATTCAATCATTCAAATATGAGCAAAAATAAAAAGTTTTAAAAAATATATACATCAAATGCCCCTTTTGGGGGAAAGGCTGTTATTTTGCCAAATTCATTCTATCTCCTCATACCTCATGGAAAATTTTCCATTTAAAATAGCTTTACAAATTATAATTAACATAATTTTAATGTACATTCAATTATGAAAATATTACTATAGTCACAGGTTTAAAATAATACACCAGAGAAAGAAAGCAGTGACAAGACTGAAATCTTACACATTTTAAAAGAAAGTGCAGGCCAATATGATCGCCTTAGTAAAATTGTATTCATGTTCAATTCTTGCATTTTAAATATTAACCTTAAATAAGGAGACAGTTATTTTTCTACAAAAAAATTTTAAGCAGATGTTTTAGGCAAATTAAGCACAGTAAACACTACTACTAAGCTTCATATGATTCCTCTGATATATAATACATAACACACAATAACACCTTCTCTTAATTTCCCTAACATTCTCTTATAAATGAACAAAAAGATTCATTTTAGAAAAATGTATTGGCTATATTTATAAGTCTCACATTAGGCTCACTCTTTAAAAGAACTTTTTTTTTCTTTTTTATTTTTATTTTTTATTTTTTTTTGAGATGGAGCCTCACTCTGTCACCCAGGCTGGAGTGCAGTGGCGCAATCCTGGTTCACTGCAACCTCCACCTCCCGGGTTCAAGTGATTCTACTGCCTCAGCCTCCTGAGAAGCTGGGACTACAGGTATGTGCCACCATGCCCAGGTAATTCTTTTGTATTTTCAGTAGAGACGGGGTTTTACCACATTGGTTAGGTTGGTCTCGAACTCCTGACCTCAAATGATCTGCCCTCCTTGGCCTCCCAACATGCTAGAATTACGGGTGTGAAGCCACTGTGCCCGCCCTAAAAGAACTTTTGATAACTGCATTAACTATTATAACCTTGTTCTGCCTACAGATTATCACAATTTAGAAACAAAGTTACTGAAGACAAAATTAAAACAGTTCACCCACTGCCCTCACCCCCCAAAATTAAAACAATTCATCATGTCAGAGCCAAGAAATATGGCGGCATTATTATTCCTTAGAATATGTAACACTAAATTTTCTTTGGAGTCATCTAAGATGCTGATGAGGGAAGTGGAGAAGTGAGATTTGTGTAGATGCCCCATTTTACAGGTGTTTTAATTGAAACAAACCTTAGTACTCTTTTATAGAAAATTCTGTCAACAGGTCTGGCCCGCCATCTATGCTTAATCTCACTTAAGGGTCATGCTTTTTACTCTGCCAAAAGTAATGAAAGTAACTTCTGAACTTAGAATGGAAGCAGACCTGCGTTTGCAAATACACGTCACAGACCTGACGGACATCATTTTCCTTCATGATGTGTCTTGTAATGTAGCGAATAGAATCGAGCGCAGCTTCCATTGTGTTTCTAGAAGATTCTGGTCCGCTCCTGCTCTCAGTTTGCTCCTTCTGAGTGAAGTACCTATCCGCATGACTTCTCATGCAAAGCAGCTTGGGAAGCTTGTGAAGAAATATCTTGCGCACCCAAGGTGCCATGGCATTATGTGTTGAGGAAGAACGATGATGAATGTTGATAGCGAAGACGGTTACCATAATTGACAGTGTCACAAAAATCATGGTAAATACCAGACACTCTCCAATCAGAGGTATGACTTTTGAAGATGAGGGTATGATCTCTTCAATAACCAGCAGGAAGACGGTCAAAGAGACAAGAACTGATGTGCAGAGACAAATCTTTTCACCTTCATTTGAAGGAAGATAGAAGACAAGTACAGTTAAAAATGAGAGCCCGATACAGGGTATTATAAGAAACAAGGTATAAAAGAGAGGCAGGCTCTTGATTACAAATGAGTAAGTGACATGCGGATACCAGCAACAGCTGTCGGTTCTGTTTCCTTTGCTCCCCGTTGCGCTCACTATCTCCCATTCTCCATTATCAAAAAAATCCCTCTTGTCTACATCTTGGTCCTCTAGAATTATATCAACCTGCGATCCATCATAAGTCCAAGAACCAAATTTCATGGAACAGTTCTGTAGATCAAATGGGAAAAACGTGACATCGATGGTACAGGAACTTTTGTAGTTTGCTGGTGGAGTCCAGGTGACAGTGCCATTGTATCTGATGACTGTTTTCGTACTGGTCCCTTCAAAACGTCCATCTGCGCTAAAATACACACATATACAATAACAATGCACCATGAATTGTATTAATAGAAGCCTAATATAAAAGCAGGCCTATCACTGATTGCATGAAATAATTTTTAAGTCACTATACTTCAGATAAGATACACCTGCTACACATAGGGGACCCTCCTCTAGGAATATCTTCCTTAAATGTCTAACTCTACTAGAACTGAACCCCATCTTCTGCAAATACTCCAGGACTGACAAATCTCTATTTCACAGAAGCCTGAGATTCTACTGGTTGAAAGGACCTCACCTTACAAAATAGACTCAGGCTATTTCCACAGTGGGCACGCATACAGCCAAAACCTGATTCCACATTCCTAGACTTGTTGCACGGTGCTCTTTCTTCCTTCATCACAAATACTGGCTGCTTTTTCCTTCGATGGGAAAAGACCATCAACACCAAGCTGGGCATGGCCCTGAAAAGCAGCTGTGCCTCTCAAGCTCTCCCACCAAGTGCATTCGTATACTGGAGAAGTCTAGCAGGAAAGCACACCTCCAACATAAGATTTCTTTAAAATATTGTTCTTCGTCTTCAAATTCATGAGGCTTTTGCACACCGTTCTGTGATATACCCATGTTTAATACAAAAATGTGTTCAATTACTGAAAATAAAACAATGCTCCAAGAAGCTGCATCGTGTGTCCTTACAAGCTTTGTTCATTTCTTAAGAAGCATGGAGATAAACGGTGTCAAAAGATTAAAGATACTTTTGCATAGCAGTTGCTCTGTCCTCATGCCAAACACCTTCTTTCAAATCAAACAAAATGCTTTAAGATTAGCACAAATTCCTAGCTTTGCCCAGGAGTGGTCTTAGAAAAAAAAAAAAAAAAAAAAAAAAAACCGCCCCCCCCCCAAGTTTAAAAAAAAAAAAAAAAAAATCCTCAAAACACACCTAGGTAGGATGCCTCTGAATTAATAATTAACCCAGGATCCCTCATTGTGGGAAACAATACAGCATTTAAACACAATTAGAAGGATGCATATTTGACATGAAATATGACCTCAATGATGTAAAAATCATACCCAAACAATCTAGAGTCCACCAAATATGTAGTCTAACAAATCAAAGGGTAAATGGAGCCATCAGTCCCCTTGGTGTGACCCCCTACACTGCCCGCATGCAAGCTCTGTGATCTTGGGCAAGAACCACCACTGTAAACCTCTGTTTCCTCATCTGTAAACATGTCATCACACCCAGCACATGCGGTCATGTCATTTGATTTTTACACCTCAACAATTTTCAAAAGGGAGAAAAATTCTTAGTGCCTAATAGTAGTATACATGTTTTCTTTCAAAAATATAAAACTATATTTAGAATATAACTTACTTATCAAACAAAACGATGTCAGGTGTCCAGACAGAGTCTGAAGGGACACGTATAACTTTAATTCCACCATAGTCCTCAGGATTCCATCTTAATTTTACATCTATCCATTCCTTTAAAACAAAGAAATCTGCCTCAATTTCAATAAAAGTAATAATCAGAAGTAGTGAATGCTACACTTTTTTGTCACATCAGAAATTGTGGACGTGAGATCATCTCTACCTCTAATAGAGAACACTGACCTCCCTGTCTTTCTTCTTATGGACACCAGATCACCCTGTCCTCTCTGGTGGTGGTTCTCACCGTGGTCCCTGTGAGACACAGGCAAGAACCAGAGCCAGATGTGTTCACGGCTCTGCTCAGCACCTCTTCTCCCACCAACTGACTATATCCAGGCCTTGAAGTCACAGGCACTTCACATCTAGGTTCAAGGGAACCATTCTTTTTTCCAGAGGTATTGGCACCCAATTTGGCTGTTCTGGTCCATGCAAAAGGGAGTTGGATTTATTGCACATTCTGCATATTTCAACACCTTGCCCTGCCTCCACGCAGTTACAATTCTGTGATCAACTTAGGAGCTGTACCCTGAGAAAAACCTGTATGCCTTTCAGGAGTTTGGGGTTACAGACAATAAAGGAAAAACAAAAGGAAGTGCTCAACAGCAGTTAGGACATATGTATGGTGGCCCAGAAAAGAACAGAAGTCCTTTACATAAAAAGGACTGTCTACATGAAAATAATTCATTTCATTCTTGCCCATTTCCCCCTCAGACTCAGAATCCTTGCAGTGGCCTGTAGGCAGCTGCTACTCCACCAGCCTCTTCTTGCCCATCGGATCCCATCTCCTACACCTGCCCTCCCCAGTGGCTCTCTCGCCGCTAGCCACACTGGCCTCCCTGCAACTGCTTAAACACACTGGGCGCACAGCAGCCTCGGAACCTGTGCACTTGCAGGTCCTGCTGCTGGAACGCTCCTCCCCAAATACACACATGGCTTGCTTCCTCTCCTCCAAGCCTCTGTTCAGACACTGTCTTCTCCATGCTGCTTTCTCTGACTGCCGTCTTTATAAGTACAGCCCCCCAATACTCCCTAGCTTCTTTCCCAGTGTGTTTTCCCCCAAGCTTATCAGCTTCTAAGGTAATATACAACTTATTTTTCCCCCAATAGGATGAAGTTCCATGTGGGCAGGTGATGTGGTTTGGCTTGTCCCCCTCCACCAATCTCATCTTGAATTGTAGCCTCCATAATCCCCACATGTTGTAGGAGAGACCCAGTGAGAGGCAATTGTATCATGAGGGCCGGTTTTCCCTGTGCTGTTCTTGTGATAGTAAGTCCCACGAGATCTGATGGTTTCAGAAAGGGCACTTCCCTTGCACACACTCTCTTGCCTGGCGCCGTGTAAGACGTGCCTTTGCTCCTCCTTTGCCTTCCACCATCATTGTGAGGCCTCCCCAGCCACACTGAACTGTGAGTCCATTAAAACTCTTTCCTTTATAAATTTCCCAGCCCTTATGGCAGTATAAGAACAGACAAATACAGCACAGTTTTTTGTCTGTTTTGTTCACTGCTGTTTCCCCAGTGCCCATAACAGTGAATGGCACATAGTAGGCACTCCAAAAGATATCGGCTGAATAAATACAAGAACTCCATCCACCCTCATCTTTCTGTATCCTGCCAGTCCACCAAGGCCACATATTCATGTATTCATTCATATTCACAAATATCCACATTCTTGTATTTCTGCTGCGAGACCTATAACAAAAATAGGTATCCCAGTCACTAATTGGGTGCCTGTTTGAATTTTATACATACCTGTTTCAACCAGACATTTGTTGTCATTAACTGATTTTTCTCATCCTTTAAAAAATAACAATTTAAATAAGGTCGATTATTTCAATTACAGAAACAATTCTTTAAATAATAAATTTCACATTGTTATATAAACACTCTTCACATAGTACCCACATTTCGTTCATCAGTCTGGTTCTCTAGAAAGCTAGGATCTTTCTTCCAGCCTAATTTCACATTATTCCTTTCAACTCACTCTATTTCAGATAAACTACACCAAAACATACCTTTGGCATTTTTACATTTAACATTCATCAACTCAACTACTATACTTCCTCAAATTTAAGATCCAGTCTAAGATATAAGCACTGTGTTATCTTATGTGCATAGCACTAAGAGGAGGAAAAAGGCTGTCAACAAATTGCAAGCTGCCATGAATTTCACACACATCATGATTTCAGAGGTGTTAAAATGCAGAAAAGTGTCCTTCTTAGAATCAGTGAGAGACAGTATTTCTGTACATTCTGTACATTCCTGAGGGACCTCTCTTACAGTCATTTGCCTCTGCTGAGGCAAGAATCTGAATCTCCTTGTAGATCTACTATATAGAAACAATACTGGGGGCTGGTTGCAGTGGCTCACGCCTGCAATCCCAGCACTTTGGGAGGCCAAGGAGGGACGGATCACTTGAGGGCAGGAGTTTGAGACCAATAGGGCCAACATGATGAAACCCCATCTCCACTGAAAACAAATACAAAAAATTAGCCAGGTGTGGTGGCACATGCCTGTAATCCCAGCTATTCAGGAGGCTGAGGCACAAGAACTGTTTGAACCCAGGAGTCCAAGTTTGCAGTGAGCCAAGATCATGCCACGGCACTCCAGCCTGGGCAGCACAGCGAGATTCCATCTCGAGAAAAAAAAAGAAAAAGAAAAAATATTGAGGTCACAGCCTTGCATGCCAATTTCATGAAGCTTTTGGCGCTACTTTTTTTTGTAGAGAACTAGAGGTCCTTGGTACCTCTCACTTATACATCTCTGCTCTCATGTCTTTGCTATCCTGGTCCTTTACCAAATATTCAAGGTCTAATTAAAGAATGCTTCTTCCATTAAATTTTACTAAATATCATGGAGCCAGGAGAATCAATAAGAGATCCGTAATCACCAGCCACAAATATATTATGTATAGGATACAATGCTATGAGATTCAATGCTATAGAGACTCACAGAAGTATAAGGCAGTTGGGGAGAAGACAGAGGTTAAATAAATATTAATAGCTCAGCTGGCTGGAGGTGACCCATTCCTTATCCCATCCCAACAACAGGTGAGTGACCCAGGACAAAGGACGAGACCAGAAGGAAGCATACCCCTGGGGATGCAGGCAGCTCCGTGAGGTCCCTGCATGGGGAGAATGAGTATGAGGAAATGCAGCATGGCCATCTCTCTGACTGTGCAGTTCCAAAGACCAATTTTCTGTGATTGAAACGCTGTAGTTTTCAGATACAGAAACTGGCCCAGTGGGGCAACTTGCCTGAAGTCACACCACCAATTAGTTGTAGAAATAATTTTAGAACTCAAATTTCCTAAATCTAAACCTCACCTCACCAACTCTACTGTCTGCCCCGGTCACACACCATCCAAAATAACCGCTGATCCCTGTATCTGAATATGCCTGTTAGGCAAAAGTTCTAAACAGAGGCATTTATAATTAGGAAAGTTCTGGTAAACATATTACCCATGATGGGCAGTAGATCATCTTTGAGAATCTAATGAAAATTATAGGCCCTTTCCCTAGAAAAATGTGCACGCACACATAAATTCAGCTCCCAGCAATACTTAGCATTTCCAACAATAACACAGATAAAAGAATAATCCATAGGTTCTCAAATGGCTCCAAAGATGTGGTGGTCAGCCATTACCATAAGGGATACCGCCTCATTTAATGTGACTTCAAATGCCTCCCAAGCAACTATAACGTGCTCGGCACAATGGACGGTGCAACAAAAATGAAACTGAGGACAGACAAATGTAGGATGATCCCCAGGAAGAAACCACAAATAAATGGAAAAATGTTAACTACACGCATAAATACAGCAGAAGAGTTTCAGGGATAATACTATTTTTAAAAAGATTTTATCTTGGCTGGACGCAGTGGCTCACACCTGTAATCCCAGCACTTTGGGAGGCTGAGGCAGGTGGATCACGAGGTCAGGAGTTCAAGACCTGCCTGGCCAAGATAGTGAAACCTCTTCTCTACTAAAAATACAAAAATTAGCCAGGCGTGGTGGCACACACGTGTAATCCCAGCTAATCAGGAGGCTGAGGCAGAGAACTGCTTAAACCTGGGAGGTAGAAGTTGCAGTGAGCCGAGATCGCACGGCTACAAGACTCTGTCTTAAAAAGCATAAAAGAAAGAAAAAAAGATTTATCTTTAAAATCAAAACAAACAAGCTAAAAATGAGATTTAAAAAAAAAAAAAAAGGCAGAACATGTGGGAAATACAGCTAGTGCTCGACTTACGACCACGGTTGTGACCGCAGACTGGTCATAACACGATTTGGTTGTAAGTTGAGTAGGCTATATGTACAGTTGAAATGGTGCACATGGAGATGGTAGTGCTGCCGGAAGCTGGTCCGCACTGTTGTACGCCCAGCTGGGCAACGTTTGCGCTGCCAGACGTGGAGCAGTGGTGGCTAGCGATTGTGGTGGTAAAGTCGAATGGTTGTAAGTTGCATAGGTGGTAAGTCGATCAATACCTGTAAGGCAGGAATCTACCAAATATGATTCCGGGCAGCTTAGCGATAAAAGGAACCTAAAGCGGCTCAGACACAATTCAGTGACGTTTCTATTTTCCATCTCCGGGGCCCTCAGCCTGCATCTCCCCTGACTCCAGTCATCTTCCCCTTTCTTAGTCACTGACATTTCATTTCCTAGGCTCTTCTCTCAAAAAACAACCCTTCCCCAACTTCTATACTTGGTTAGCCCTTCCTTCTACACTTTCTGCAAATGTTCCTCAAGAATTCGGTTCCTGCTCTTCCCACTAACTTTAAAAACTAATCAAAGTGGGAGGTGAGAGGTGAGGGCAAAAACAAAAACAAAAATCTCATCAAAGTTTTCAATAATCACCTCCAGGCCAGCAATTCCAGACGGACATCCTTGGTGTCGCCCGTCACCTCAGAGCCGGTCCTGACTTCCCAAAGGCTAGTGAACATTTTCTTTGGAATTAACACCTCAAACCACAATCAAACTCATCAACTTCTCCGCCCTACTTGCATAACAATGAATATTATCTTTCAAATGTGTTACTCTTCCATTCTAATCACCTAGTCTTCAAAATGTGATGCCTCCCTTCATATTCAGTGGTCAAGCCCTTTTCCTTCTTCTATGTAGTCCTCTAACTTGTGTCCCACCCTCTAGTCTCTCTTTCACCCCTCAAAACCATGTGCATTACTGTTTTACTGATCTTCTGGAAGTACTGCTTTGACCGTGTTGTTGCCTATCAGATCTCTCACTCATTCAGCATTTACTATGTACCAGATACCGTGCTAGGCTCAGGGACAGAGACAAGGAATCAAGCTCACCCAGCTTTGAAGATGAAATGCCAGAACACATGAGTACCAGTGAGTGTCATGGGCACCATATTACAGTGCAAAAAAAAAAAAAAAGTTTAAGCACAGGAGAAGCTGTCTTAGGGAGTCTGGAGAGATTTCACAAAGGGTCTGACAAATGAATTTGGCCTTGAATAATAAATGGTTAGTGCCTGTAGGAAAGTTCTCCCAGGAAGTAAGCATGGCAGGATCAAAGACAAAGTGGCATGCAGAGATCCTCCTCACTTTCTCTACCATCCAGTCAGACCGCTCCTGTATGCCAGGGCTTCCAACATTCATCTTTTGATGTAAACAACTCTACAGAAGGGCTCAGTTATCACTTATATATACCTATGGTTATATTGTTCCTCTGTATTTAAATACTCTTCCTCTCTGCCATGTAAAACCCTACACTTGCTACAAAGCCAGCTCAGGTGCCACCTCATCTACCCTACCTTCTTTGATAAGGTCATTCATCAAGATCTGAATTCCCAGCTTTTTCTGGCATCAGGATTTAGTGCTACGCTGTTCTACACCATTTCTGTGCCAATGGCCTCAACCAGAAAGATCTTTGAGAGCAAGCCCCACCCACCTTACTTTTCTTTTCTTTTTCTTTTTTTTTAAATTGCATTTTAGGTTTTGGGGTACATGTGAAGAACATGCAAAATTGTTGCATAGGTACACACATGGCAGTGTGATTTGCTGCCTTCCTCCGCATAATCTCGCTCTGTCGCCCAGGCTGGAGTATAGTGGTGCAATCTCGGCTCACTGCAACCTCTGCCTCCTGGGTTCAAATGGTTCTCCTGTCTCAGGCTCCTGAGTTGCTGGGATTACAGGCATTGACCGCCACCCAGCTAATTTTTGTATTTTGGGTAGAGATGGGGTTTTGCTATATTGGCCAGGCTGGTCTCGAACTCTTGACCTCAAGTGATCCGCCTGCCTTGGCCTTCCAAAATGCTGGGATTACAAGTGTGAGCCACCGTGCCTGGCCACCACCTTACTTTTCCACTTTCTTATTTTCATTTAAAATCTCCCCATATTGACTAGTCAAGGGCTGAGTACACAGCCCATATATGTTCATTAGCCTTTCTGGAAGCAATTAGATGACATAGCAATAGACTTTGAATAAAACATATCCTTTGGTTCACTAACTGCCTTTCCCTTAAGAAAGGAGACATTCAGCCATTTGTGTACAAATATATTCATCATTGTTGATTATATTTAAAAAATTAGAAATAAGCTTCTGTTCAAAATAGGAGAATGGTTAAATAAATTAGATGAAATATTCAACCATTAAAAATTATATTTGAAGATTATGTAATGACATAGGAAAATGTTAATCATGTCACAGTAGAGAAAAAGCAGTAATCAAAATTATATCTAAAATATTATTCAAATTTTGTAACATATACACAAAGAAAAACTGTCAAGAAACACAACTAATTATTAACGTTAGACATCGCCAGGTAGTAGTTAGTCAATTTTTATTTTCTCATTTGTATATTTTTGTACTTTCCAAATTCTCTATAAAAATCACTCATTGCTTTGTAATCAGAACATAAAACACATCTATAGATTTTATTTTAAAACTTATATGTGTGTATATATATGTATATGTATGTATATATATGTGTGTATATATATATATGTACACACACACACACACACACATACACACACACACATACATATACTTGGTTTTTCTGGGAACACAACAGGGAAATAATTATGGATATACATGTTCAGAACAAGAAGAAACTAGTTTAAAAAGCAGCATGAATATTTTAGTTTAAATAGATAGGATCTCTTGACAATAAGAACAAGTTATCAAGGGAACTTATTCTACCTAATGAATGTCACATGGAAAAATTTCTGAAATGTTTTAAGTGTGATCCCAAGATAATGATCTATTGTGATACTTTTATGTCCTAAGACTCTATCACTCTATTTTTGGACTTTTTCTCTTAAAAAATTTTCTTTTCCCTACGTTCAAGCTAACAAGCTACTCTTAAACTTTCTGAGCTTATTTTTAACACATTTTAGGACTATACAATGTCTTTGAATTTGTTAAAGATAGATTTATAATTACCAAATTGAGATAAACAGTTCTAAACTATAAAATATACTATAAACACAGTGTGTTACCATGTATGTGGCATAATCAGTACTTTTCCCTGGTGAGTTCCTTCAGGAAAAGGACTGCCTCAATCACCTTTGTAATCCTTGGTGCCCAGCACAGTGCCTGGGCACACACCAGGCTCTCACTAACCTGTGGGAAATTGGGCATATAAGGATATGCACACCTACCACATCCACCAGTTGAGATATTGCAAGTCCAAACTTTATTTTTATTTTGTCATTCAGGTGTTCCACAGGACGAACCCATCTTTCACAGCCTTGAAATAAATTCTTAAGTAAACTATTTTCATGTTCTGCAATAGAAGAAGGTTCAGATGATCCTGTATAATAAATTTTTAAAAGTTAGTATACTGGCTTCTATCCCACCAGATACCTATATTTCAAACAAAAGTTCAAACCCAGAGGCAAATGTTGCAGTGAGCCAAGATCAGGCCACTGCACTCAAACTTGGGCCAAAGAGCAAGACTCTGTCTCAAAAAAAAAAAAAAAAGTTCAGCATTATTAATGAACTAAACTACAATTTATGCTATTAATAATGCAGCTCTTAATATGAAATGTTAACATAAGTATTTCTGATCAAATAAGGGATACTCTCATTCAGATATGTCTTAGTTAAATCAGACTACTGACTGTGGAACATGCTGAGTTCCTTAAGAAACACTCAGTACGCAATACAGAATAATTTCAAATCTAAGTAATAAAAGCTTTTAAATTGCCAAGGTTGTGGGGGTTATCTAGAAATTCCAAACCTAGAAAACAGATATACTAAAGCAAATCTCATTTATCAATTATAAATGTTAAAACTGCTTTAGTTTGCTTTTTTTTTTTTTTTTTTTGAGACGGAGTCATTCCTGGTCTCCCAGGCTGGAGTGTAGTGATGTAATCTTGGCTCACTGAAACCTCTGCCACCAGGATTCAAGCAATTCTCCCACCTCAGCCTCCTGAGTAGCTGGGACTACAGGAATACACCATCACACCCAGCTAATTTTTGTATTTTTAGTAGAAACAGGGTTTCACCATGTTGCCCAGGCTGGTCTTGAACTCCTGACCTTCAGTGATTCACCTGCCTCAGCCTCCCACAGTGCTGGGACCACAGGTGTGAGCCATTGTGCCTGGCCTAATTGGCATAATCTTAATATGAAAATATACAAATATTGAATTACTTCTTTAGCTTTGACATACTTTGCTACTATATTTGTATAAAACTATACATTTGTATAAAGCTGCTTTTTAGGGAATTAGGAAAGAAGAACTCAACGATAGCAGTTAGTGTGCTGTCCTGGAAGCTAAATGAAGAAAATGTAGCAAGAAGGGTTGAGTTTCCCAATCTATTGATGCTACTCATGAGCCGTGGAGAGGCAGCTGAGAACTGAGTGTTGGATTAGCAACAGTGAGGTCGATGGTGAAACTAACCAGAGCCATCTACCGGGAGAGAAGAGAGATGAATTGGAGTATGTTTAAGACAGAATGCAAAGACAGGAATGACCTCTTTCCAAAAGTTACGCTGATACAGAGATATAGAGGATGAAGAGTCAAGAAAGATTTATTTCAAGATCAGTAAAAAATAAAAATAGAAATAGAAATGTTTGTGTGTGAATGTGAACATGGTTGGCTAAATAATTCACAGGGCTCAATGTCAAATGAAGATGAGCAATTCCTATTGAAAAATCAGGAAACGTGTGCCATTAAATATACTAAAATAAAAAGGTTTTTCTTTTAAAAAATCTACTTTAGGGCCTAAGTTGTTAAAAAAAATTTTTTTAAGTCAAAATATAAAATATTGTGGATACCATGGCCAAAGACTGGTTAGATTAGGGCATCACAGTTATGTTTATACTTCTATAGAGCTCAAATAAGCCTCTCTGAAGAAATGAGTTTTCAATGTTGTCTGGGCTGGGGTCACTTAAGGAAACGTGAAATGTATAAAATTCAAGCATGACATTTACTTAAGACTAACAATATTATGAAAAAAAACCACTTTTACTTGAAACAAAAATGTCACTGGCTTATTAATCAGCAAATATACACACAGGATTACAGTAGCTAGTGATGGTTCTTCTCCATCCTAAAAGAAATGGTTGGAAAGAAATTAGCACTTTCACAAAATCTTCTCTTCATGATGATAGACCATGTTTTCCATACAGAGATATGAAAGAATGCCCGGGTACTCTAGCTGGAGGAAACCTATTCCCTGATTCTCTTTTGCTGCCTCGTTTTTCATAAATAATCTACTCCTTGAGAGTTTGTGTCCTGCTTCCCTGAATAACTAGTTTTTTAAAATTATTATTTATTTACTTACATTTATTTATTTAGAGACAGAGTCTCACTCTGTCGCCCAGGCTGGAGTGAAGTGTTGCGATCTCAGCTCACTGCCACCTCCACTCCAGGGTTCAAGTGAGTCTCCTGTCTCAGCCTCCCGAGTAGCTGGGACCACAGGCACACAGGCTAATTTTTGTATTTTTAGTAGAGATGGGGTTTCACCATATTGGTCAGGCTGGTCTCGAACTCCTGACCTTAGGTGATCCAACTGCCTCAGCCTCCCAAAGTGCTGGGATTACAGGTATGAGCCACCGCGTCCAGCAGTAATATTTTAAGATACTTAACATTTAATCTATAAATACTGTAGAGTTTGTGTGGTGATGTCTGTAAACATCTCCTTACACTGAAATGCACAGCATTAAAGATATTTAGATTTAGAAAATTATACACTAGAGTCATTCTTAATGTTTACAAGCCATTAATTTTATTTTTATTTTATTTGTTGAGACAGAGTCTCACTCTGTCACCCAGGCTGGCATGCAGTGGTGTGACTTCAGCTCACTGCAACACTGCCTCCCAGATTCAAGAGCCTCAGCCTCCCAAGTAGCTGAGACTACAGCTGCCCCCCACCATGCCTGGCTAATTTTTGTATTTCTAGTAGAGGTGGGGTTTCGCCATATTGGCCAGGACAGTCTCGAGCTCCTGACCTTGTGATCCGCCCACCTCAGCCTCCCAAAGTGCTGGGATTATAGGCATGAGCTACTGCATGTGGCCAAAATAGCATTATTGAACCATTTCTCCTCTTCTAATCTTCCTAATTATAGACCCTGAAATACCAAAAATTTAAGGGTTAAAAGTATTAATAAATAAAATGGTTTTTTTTCATCTCTGTCACCCAGGCTGGAGTCCAGTGGTGCAATCTTGGCTCACTGCAGCCTCGACCTCCTGGGCTCAAGTGATCCTCGCACCACAGCCTCCTGAGTAACTGGGACCATAGGCGTGCACCACACCTGGCTAGTTTTTTGTATTTTTGGTAGAGACAGGGTTTCACCATGTTGCCCAGATTAGTCTTGAACTCCTGAGCTCAAGGAATCTGTCCACCTCTGCCTCGCAAAGTGCTCGGATTACAGCTGTGAGCCATTGCAACCAGCCTAAAATGTCTTTCAATACCATCTAAGAAACTTTTGCCCAAGTGGGGGAAAAACTAGCTTGAATTGCTATCTCAAATCTTGTTTGAAAGAAAGTAGACAGGGTATCAGCAAAATGCTAAATTAATCCCAACATTCTGCCTAATGAGAATCTTTAAGATATTGCTTTGTGAATATCTTCGCAATACATCCCATACTAGAAATATCATTTTCTTAGCACACTTTAAAGCAGTGTCCAGTGCAAATGTCAGAGACATTTTAGCATAAAACCTTGATAGTGCAATTAAATTCTTCTTAGCAGTCACGCTTTTTTAGCTGGCTCTAACTGTTTTAAGTTTATGCTGCTCACAAATCTCAGCATGTTAAAAAGGAGACAATTTCAGCCAGGCCCAGTGGCTCACACCTGTAATCCCAGCACTTTGGGAGGCCGAGGTGGGTGGATCACCTGAGGTCAGGAGTTCAGGACCAGCCTGACCAAAATGGAGAAACCGTGTCTCTACTAAAAACACAAAATTAGCCAGGCGTGATGGCATATGCCTGTAATCCCAGCTACTTGGGAGGCTGAGGCAGGAGAATCGCTTGACCCTGGGAGGTGGAGGTTGCAGTGAGCCAAGATTGTGCCACTGCACTCCAACCTGGGCAACAAGAGCAAAACTCAGCCTCAAAAAAAAAAAAGGAGACAACCCAATGCATCCCCTCATTTCCTCATTTCCCAGATCAGGATATGTGACCAGAAGGGCTGCTGCTACACCCTCATTAATGGCAGAGCTCTGAGGGGCTTCGTGCTCTTGTCACCCTAACATCTTCCATCTTGTGACAACTTTCTAGATTAACTTAATGAATGCCACACCCCGACAGCTCTAGCCCACACTGATGTTTACTCATTCATTCATGTAACAAACATTTATTGGACATGAGCCTCATTTCAGGCAGGCCCTGGGAACATACTGGTAAGCAAAACAGGCAGCATCCACATTTACAATCCAGTAGGAACGACTGACACAGCACACACGACACTATATTTAAGCTAAATTCTAAATAAACTGAATCAAATGGAAAATTCTTTTTAGAAGTTGTTTTAAATAGTTAACATTTGCTCATCCTATTGAAAATGAGCACTTTTTTGGCATCTCTATAATGCTACATATAGGCTGATGACAGTAATTGTGTGTGTGTGTGTGTGTGTGTGTGTGTGTGTGTGAGAGAGAGAGAGAGAGAGAGAGAGAGAGAGACCAGGTCTTGCCCTGTTACCCAGGCTGGAGTACAGTGGTGCCATTACGGCTCATGCAGCCTCAAACTCCTGGCCTCAAGCAATCCACCCACCTCAGCTTCCCTCCTACCTCAAGCCCCCACACAGTTGGAACTATAGGTGCATTCCACCAGAGCCAGCTAGTTTCTTTATTTTTTTGTAGAGACAGGGACTCTTTGTAGCCCAGGTTGGTCTTGAACTCTTGGGCTCAAGCAATCCTCCCGCCTTAATCTCCCAAAGTGCTATAAGATCCACCATACGCAGCCTTACTTATTATATTATTACATTTTAATTTTCCTTCTCTTCCTTGTCTTAAAAATACTTGACTTGGTGGGGCATGGTGACTCATGCCTTTAATTCCAGCACTTTGGGAGGCCAAGGCAGGTGGATCACTTGAGGCCAGGAGTTTAAGACCAGCCCGGCCAACGTGGCGAAACCCCATCTCTACTAAAAGCACAAAAATGATGTGGGCGTGTAGCACACGCCTGTGGTCCCAGATACTGGGGAGGCTAAGGTAGGAGGACCGATTAAACCCGGGAGGGAGAGGTTGGTGTGAGCCAAGATTGTACCACTGCACTCCAGCCAGGAAGACAGACATCCTATCTCAAAAACAACAACAAAAACAAGTAAAACTAAAAACTTGACTTAAAAAGATCCCTTACAT